AGGGGGAAATTGAAGCCTCTGGGAAAGGCCATCTTGTACAGAAACATTTCAATTCTAAGAGTGTTTAGGCTATTCAAACTTGATTATTTTCAAAAGCTTATCAGCACATTAGCCTTATCAGCTCGTCTATGTCATTCGTGAGAGATGCGCATACATGCATATACACACATACCGTTTATACTCGTGTATAAGCCGAGTTTTCCAGCACATCTTTAATGCCGTTTTTGTTGTAAAACTAGGTGCCTTGGCTGATAGTCAGGTCGGCTTACACTAGAGTATATACAGTATATATTTTCCGACCACATATATTAAGCTTTGGACACAGTGAGGGAGCTTGAGAGATATTAAAATTAAAAAGAATTTCCCACCAGAGAGAGAAAACCAAGTTAAAAGAAAGGAAAAAGAAAAAGCGGGATATTTTTGGTTTGTGTACTGTTTTGTGGGATTTGGCCCTGACAAGTTGAGCTGCTCAGCCTCTTGTTGGTCCCGAGTGGGCGGCAGTACCATTCTGGAAATACTGTAAAACTTCACCACCAAACCCAAAGCCTGGGACCTAGAGGACGTTCCCAAGAAGAAGCCAGTCTGGCAGGGAGGCTCTGGTCAAAGGGAGGGACGGGCTGCTCAGTGGCATCTGCAGGACAGACCATGCCTACCTCCTTGTCGCTGTACGAGATGTTGCGGATTTCGTTCCAGGGGAAGGAGATCTTGGCGGTCAGTCTGTTTTCGGGGTCATAGATGTGAAGGCCTAGAGCGTCCACTCCAAGCAGCAGCTCTGTGCCCTTTTTATTCTGGAGAGCCAATAAGAACAGCCACTGTCAGCGCCAGCTGAGGCTCCAGACTGCACCCAACTTTCCCCAGACGCTCGCACACACTGCCACACACGACAAGCTCCAACTAGTTCCAACAGAAAGCACCTATGGGGCCTCCAGCTTCCTGAATTGAGGCAGAGGCAAGACCTCATCTGCCCCTTGGAGGGGTCGCTGGGGGCTTCGGTCATGGCTAGATGACTAAAGTAGGGGCGATCCGTGTTGTTAGCTCTCAATCATTTGCATCAAGAGACACGTTGCAGACAGACAGCAAACAAGCAATCTACTCACCTAAAAGCTCAAAATCTCACTAAATAACCTGATGATCAGAAGTGTGGGACCCAAATCAGTGGAACTAAATACGTTTATTTTGTAAGAAAAATTGCTGGACGTATGGAAACACTAAGTGTTGTATCAAATGATCTTGTGCAATGTTACCATGTGGCATCGGTATGATAAAGCAAGTGAGTAAAGTACAAGGTTCGCTGTAGAATCTCATTAATATAATTTGTAAGTGGGCATGTGGGTCCCAGACCTAAACCCACTGCCATCGAATCAATTCTGACTCACAGCAACCCTAGACAAAAGGTTCCCGAGCCTGAAGATCCTTGTGGGAGCTAATAGCCTCCTCTTGCTCCCGCAGAGAAGCTGGCAAGCTGCAACTGCTGACCTGTGTTTACCCAACAGCACCACCCAGGCTCCTTCTGGGCAGCGGGTGTTCACTGTGAAATCCTTTCACCTTCTCTGTACGTTTGCAATTCTCACAGTAAAATGGTGGCAAACGATGATCAAAATGAACTGTACATAAACAATTACTTCAGCAAAGTTGCTTTAAGGGTGAATGAATTTACTACAGGTCTGTTACATCTCTGGCATGGGTGCTAGTCAGAAATCAGAGTAGCCAGCGGACAAAGCTCATGAGCACTCGGGGCCCATCCTCCTGTGTCCTCACAGCACAACCTCCCCCTCCCCCCCAGCCCCACTCCCTTACTGACAAGGAGACTGAGCTGAGACTCGGGGGCAGAGAAACCAATCTGCAAAGTGAGAAGACTGGGGTGAGAAGGACCAGTCTTAACAGCAGGGCTCCGATGGAAACATGAGTGCGACAAAATAAGCCTCTCACTGCTCCGCACAGCCTGGGGGTCAGGCGCTAGCACCAGACCCTGGGGATTCCTGTTGTCTGCACAGCTCTGAAAAGCAATGGGCAGCCCGGGAAGGCTCTGGACTCTTAAAACCTCCAACACAGGCGGGGAAACGAGAGGCACTGCACTGTTTCTGACTTGAGCTTGTATTTTTTCCTAAAAGAATCAATCTATCCTTGCCTCCTGCCACTTCCAGGGATGGAAAGGAAAGCAGCAGGGGCTTGTGCAATCTCTTTTAAAATGTTTGGAGAATGACGAGGGCAATGAATGTACAAATGCGCTTTACACAACTGATGTTTTACACAATTGATGTGTGTATGGATTGTGATAAGAGTTGTATGAGCCCTAATAAAATGATTTAAAAAATTAAAAAGAAATAAAGAATTAAATAAAAATAAAATAAAAACAGAGACCCTTAGTTCATATATGTATTGACCTTGAATAAGGATAAGTATAAAAGCAATATTTTTCTTTAATAAAGTTTTCTGTAATCTTAAAAAAAATAAAATCATAAATTGTTCTCTTATTAAAAAATAAAAAAATAAAATGTTTTAGGCAAATATCTTATTTGGCTCATGGTGAAATTTCCAAAACGCTTAATACAAGCAACTCTAAAATATCCCTTGGTTTTGTCTAGTGCTCAATATATGCTCAATAGCACATGCAAAAATTATGGTGTATTTCAGTTTCACGGATAAGAAACTTATTAAGGACAGTAAAGCTCTAGTTTTCCAGAATCTGGGTGGTGGGCATACAGGGCAAGAAGGGTCGAGTTGACAAAACCACAGAAATGTGTTAAACACGTCTGAGTTTAAAGAAACCAAGCGAAGAGCAAAAAACGAACAGAACTTTCCGTTGAACATACAAGCTTTAATACTGGTGTCGATGACATGGCGAGAAGGTTGAGGCTGTCAGGGATCCCGCCCTGCTTGCTTCCACACTCCTGCTCCCGGAGCGGCAGGCCAGAGGCCCGTCACACATTGTGCTACATACATCTGCTGCACAAGACCTCATTGTAAAGTGTTGCAAAGCAAGGGGGTGCCTTTGAGGACAAAGGTGTACCAGACTCAAGCCATGGCGTTTTTAATCACCTCAAACGCACGTGAAAATTAAGGAGGAAGACCGAAGAAAAACGGATGCATTTGAACTGTGGTGCTGGAGAAGAATCTTGAAAGAACCATGGTGTCAAAAGAACAACAACAAAGAAAGAAGTGGAGCCAGAATGTTCCTTAGAAGCAAGGACGGCGAGACTTCCTCCTGGTTACTTAGGACATGCTCTCAAGAGAGCTGCGTCCCTGGAAAAGGACATCACCCATGGTAGAGTGTTTAAGAAAAAAGAGGCAGGCCCTGTTTTCTTTTGTTCTTGTACATCAGGTTGCTATGAGTCGGCAGCACCTAACCACAACACTAGTACGCCGCATCTTCTGGACACTTGTTTACTTTATGACATTTCAGTATACGCTACCAATTTGTATTTACTAAACACATAAATTCGTTAAAACATGCCTCAAGTTACTCTACTTTTCAAAATTTCTAAGAACTCACACAAGGAATGCAAGCTATCCCCGTAACAATAAAGGCAGACAACTCTCCAGCCGCAGTCTGGAACCAGCAATGAACTATTTGCGCTTTGGGAGAAGCTGCCCACACACTGTATTAGGCAGCTGGCCCAGAGGCCAAGCATGTCTCTGGGTGCAGATGCAGTGGATTCTCAGGACAGTTGGCTATTAATGGCCTGGATAGAAAATCAATTAGTCTCATAGTGAGAACAAGATTCCCCACCCAAACAAATCAGAAATCTATAAAAGCAACTTTATCCGCCTTGCTCTCCGGGAAAGAAGGCATTCGTGAGTCTCCCTGTGGGCTGAGAGCTGGCACCAGAATCGAGTGTTACCCTCAGAGGACTCCGACAGGTTTGTGCTGGGCGCAGATCTAGGCCCCAGTCCCTCAGGCTCCACCGGACACTTAATTACCCACGATCTAATTGAAGTCCAAAAATAGCAAGGTAGGCTCACACGCCCTCTCTCCCCTTCCTCTTTTCTTCCTCACCACTGAGCTGTAAAAGCCCAGCCCATGCTGCCCACGGGCTGGAATCAAGAAATAGCCTGCTGTGCAGCCTGCTCTGATTCCATCTCTGCTGATGGAACAGGCTAGAGGAGAGACTTCAACACACCCGGATTGCAAAGTAGTTCACACCGTACATCTCCAGGTCCTGAGCGATCTTCAAATATTCCATTTCCGCCTCGTCCCTGTAAGGAGAAGGAAAGGCACTGTCACTGCCGGATTTTTTTGCGAGCTGCTCTTCCCCTGGGTTTAGGGTTAGGATCCTCTCCCTGTACCACACACACAGGCCAGTGCGGACACCAGCCAAGCGCTTCCCAGTGGTGAGTCAAGTATTTCCCATCCCCGGAAAAACAAGAACAAGCTGCCTCACACTGTCTCCTGGCTTCAATTTCAGGCTTTGCCCTTGATAAACAAGGACACCCATGTTAAGTCACCAAGGAAAAGCACATGGCCTTTTACCTTCTCCCTCGGATGTACCTGGATGCTCACACTGTGTTTCTGTTGCTGCTACTTTCGCTTTCTCGTGCCGTTTTCAGCTACAAGGCTTTGGCAATGAAACACCTCTCTCTATAAGCTACCTGAGAGCTACCTTCCTGATTTTTCCCCCCTCTGGGGGAGACAGTTGGCAGTTAGGCCAAGAACTAACTAGGCGGAAAGATCCACACCAAGCCGTCAGACTTCTGAGCTACAGGGCAAATTTGCAGTAAGCTTGTGAAGTTGCAATAGCTTGCAGAACAGTCCCAAAGTGACACAATATTGAAATATTTAAACGGAATTCCCCCTATGATCTCGCCCTTTTCCCTCTCCTCCCCATCTGAAAATACTCCCAAAGCAATTTTTAAACCCAGCCAGTGAGGATGCCAAATGTTGTGGGCAGGTGGAACGACGAGCATGTATGCAACATGTCTGATGCAAGTTGGCATAATCACTCTGGAACACTGCTTGGCATTGTTAGTAATAGCAAACCCCAGGAAACAACTCGACAATTTAAACATCCATCAGCTGTCGAACAGATAACTGGAGGCATGTCACTAATTCAAAAAGAGACGTTTCCTGCACTTGACAAGGCACTGAAGATGGGAAAAGCCACTGCTCTAGGCCAGCCTGTGCCTCACAATACGATGCTGGGTAAAAGAAGTGAGACGCACAAAAACAGCAATGGTCTGACTCCATTTACAGGAAGCTTGAAATAGGCAGCATTAATCGAACGCAGTTAGAAATTGGGAGAATGGTTACCTTTGTGGAGAAGGTAGAGGGGCAACTGAAAGGGAAAGGGGGTTTGCCCCATTCTATTTCTTCACCTGATGTTAACAGGTACTTCCTTTTAAAAAATCTTTTCTTTTAAACAGTGTTACTGGTATATCATTCACATACCATATAATAAAATGGTTTAAATAGATCAAACTATACATACTTTGACTTGTGACAATTCATCCAAAAACAAACTTATGATTTGTCCACCTTACAGTATGAATAACTGACTTTTACAAAGTTAAAAAACAAAACATTTAAGACACGAAGTTGACTTGAAGATGAGTGGGG